GATGGTTGCATGTTCATCCATGAAGTTTATCTTCAGAAGATGAAAAATTATTGGGTTCCTTGTGGAGGAGGGGGCATAATCCAAATAATTCCACCGCAAGAGCGAGGTCATGATTGTCGGAGTTTTGGCACCGCAAGAGCGACCTGTCGGACCCCTGAAACATTGGAGTCGTGGAACCCATGAACCTTCCCTGTGTTCAGGTTCTCAGTGCATCGACGGGGTCTCCCAATACACCATCACTGAGATCCCACTGTCGAGGTTCAAGAAGCTTTGCGCCGATTGCTGGAAGAGAAAGGGCTTTCGGCCCCAAGATCGTATGTCACTGGTCGGAACAAGTTGAAACATTTGGAAATTGTTTTTGGGAGCCCAACTGAAAGAAATGTGATGCTCCATGTCAAGGGTGAGGAGCCACACACCCGCACACCACCCCGACTGTTGCTTTGCAAAGGCCGTTGAAGTGATTTTAAGGAATGAGAATTGCATTTTGCTTTACAGAGCCTTGATTCGCGGGAACAATGGTATAGGGCTCTATAAGATTCTATAAGCATCGAACTAGACGAGAGGAAACCTGTCTATATATAGTACTCGTAGAATGAACGGTGGTAGAACTCTGGAGCCGACAAAGGCCAGCAAAACATGTCTTAGCATACTTCCTTGATTTTGCGGTGGGTGAAGCGGGCTCCGGGTTTTGACCCGCACCCATTTTGTTTGGAAGGACCTGCGGTCAAAGTGCTAGAGTGCAAGGTTCCTCCAGCTAAGACGCTGCAAGTTCATTGCAAGTGCTCATGGTCAGTTGGTGAGCACTGGACAAACAAAACGGCGGATGTTGCTCGACAAACAAATCCGCCAGGAAACCACGGGGCGATCCGCGCCGCCGAGGCCATGATGCTGTGCTTGGGACAAGAGGCGATCATGAGCCGCGGTCGAAAGGACCCGCTGTCGAGAGAGCCTGACCCCAAAAGAACGAGCTGCGAGCGCGAGAAGGTCGGGGAAGGGGGAAGTCGAGCGAAATTCGTATGCCTGCGTGAAGGCCCATTTTGGTCACGGTCGGCGGTCGAAGATGGTTGTGGGTTTTGCACCGAACCTGAAGCTCTACTGATACTGCAGGAAGTATCAGCAAATCCTTTGCACCGGTGGGTGTGCATCTTTTGGAGATTGAATTGGGTCTCAAGATGTCTTGTCGAGACTTTCGACCAACAGCAGACTAACAGCAGAGGTCAAGCGCTGCCCTGCATGGTTTGGTCGACACCAAACCCCAGACCAAACCGAATAGGATCAGACATTAGTATAGATCTAGTCAGCTCGTTGGAGCCCTCCCACATCGTATATCATTGATCATCGACCTCCAAACACCACGTGGGCAACTGCCATGGCAATTCGTTCACAAAAGAACCGTCCGGGCACCACTGAGAGCCGAAGATCAGCAGAGGGGGTGATCAATCCTTCACCTTCCTTTCAAGGGGAAATTGGTTTGGACTGAAACACCAAAGCTTTGGGGAGTTGTCTCAGTCTCCGGCAGCCGGTTGGTCGACACCAAACCCCAGCCTTCAAAGACCATGGACCAACAAATGGTTGACCTGATGTAAAAGTCCTCAATAAAACAATTGTTCTTTAGCAAAGACCAACAAAACTGATCGAATCCCAAGAATTGTAGGGCAAAGTTTTGGTGGGGTATCTAGGCCACCCGACGATTGAAGCACGAAAGCTTTTGTGGGGTGTCTTGGTCTCCGGCGCCCGATTGAATCACCAAAGCTTTGGCGGGGTGTCTTGGTCTCTGGCGCCCGATTGAATCACCAAAGCTTTGGTGGGGTGTCTTGGTCTCCGGCGCCCGATTGAATCACAAAAGCTTGGTGCGGTGTCTTGGTCTCCGGCACCCGATTGAATCACCAAAGCTTTAGTGGGGTGTCTTGGTCTCTGGCACCCGATTGAATCACCAATGCTTTGGTGCGGTGTCTTGGTCTCCGGCGCCCGATTGAATCACAAAAGCTTTGGTGGGGTGTCTTGGTCTCCGGCGCCCGATTGAATCACCAAAGCTTTGGTGGGGTGTCTTGGTCTCCGGCGCCCGATTGAAT